AGTCTACACATTTAGCCAGCATGATCTAATTCAATTTCATTTTTTAACAGCCAAGTTATCTTAAATTTCTAGAGTGTCTTCTGGGTGTTCTTATCTATATGCCCCACAGTTTTTGCAGCTCAGATGCTAAACCAAGCTTTGTACCTGCGCTTCCTAAAATGTTGCCTCCAGCCCGGCATCACTGCCCGTACAACCTCTTCCATTAGAAACCATGATGCCATTCTGTTTGTTGACATCCAATATGTCACTAAGAGCTTTAAATATAATTAAGTGTTCATTATCATTGTTATTAATATTATGACTGCCTTTTATCTAGCCCTTGGGCTGAGCACCCTGCTAAATTCTTTATATATAGATTACCTCATCTAATCCTCATAACAATAGCCTTTAATAATAGCTTTATGGGTGCTGCTATTATCTCTATTTTAGAGATGAAAAGTCTGAGGTTCAGCATATTTAAAATATTCTCCCCTGCTTTAAATAGTTGCTCCATTTACCCAAAAATGAATCCAGGTAATTTGACTCTGGATCCTGCCCTCTTGCCACTATATTCTGCTGCTTCTTTGCTCTACTGTGCCTTTCTCCTGAAAGTCTCACTGATTCAGCCATTCTCTGGCTACCAGCACACAAAATTACATATCTGAGCTCTAAGAGTAGATGGATTTGCACTGAAGTCCTGTGACCCCTGCTTGCTGTGTGACTTTGGACAAGGAACCTGACCTTCTCTGCCTGTGATTCCTCATTAGGGAAAAAAACAGATACTAGTTACATTTCAGGTTGGTTATAAGGTTTCAAATGAAATAATATTAATGACCAAGAAAAAAAAATGAAAACTTAGCTTTACCCATGTAAATTCTACAAGCTTAAGCACTATTATTATTATTCTACTCCAGTATGAACTCGCAAACATTTTCACTTTGTTTCAGAAGATTTCTAACTGGTCTCTACGACTCGACCCCATAAATTAATTTTTTCTATTGTTGTCAGAATTATTTTTCAAAAAGCTCAATCTGACCATGCCACTTCCCTGCCTGAAAGTCCCTGATGTTCCTTTTCTTGTGGGAATAGCCTTTGATGTCATATTGGAGCATTCACTTAAAATGGAATCAACTTCTTAAAACTGGAATGACATCTGCTACTCCTTTCTCTTTTATTTCCTGCTCCTCTCTCAAAAGAAACCTAGTTTTCATAAACATCAGATTATTCTTTCATGGACTCACCAGTGCTTTTGATGCCTTGGGGCCTCTTTGTGCTTCCCTTTTCACATAGAAAACTCCTACTTGTCCTTCAAAGTCCAGCTTTTCACCATGGTTTCCCCTAGATCAGAATCTAATACTGCCATATCCCAATCCCTATGCTACTGAAAGTACTTTAATCCCAATATTTATCAAACTAATTTTGCAATTACTGAATTGCAATGACTTTCTCCAGGGAAAAGTTCACTTCTGAATAAAAATCAGTCTAATCTGGTGCATCGTACTGTGTCTGGTATATTGTAGGCACTTGATATATATTGCTGAAATAACTGAAAGTGGATTGTTCTTACAGCCTACAAAGTTTTTTCACATACTTATTTCATCACATGATCAGGATATACAATCATAAGATTGGATACAAGAGGCTGTGTTTTTTTTTTTACTCTTATTAAAAATTGAGACTTTATTAAATCTCTTCAACATTTCCCCCTAATTGCAGAGTTTTAAAAATATACAAAATAACACCTATGCTTTAAAAAGCTTAAGTGAGCACATGGTTCATATTTTAAGAACGAGGTGATTATAATAATCTACATAATTACCTGTGGGCATTGGTAAATACATTGCAGCTTGATAACTGTGCTCCACTTCAAGTTCAGATTAGAATGTTCCTTTATTTTGTTAGGGAAGCAGCTATTTTCAAGTGTCAGGTTAAAACCTGAAATGAAAGGAACTCTTTGGAATGACAGTAGCATTCCTGTGTCTTTGTAGTTTCTATCCATTTTTGTTTTTAATGTGGCAAGAACAATTCAGTGGTCTATTATTTCTCCGAATTCCCTGAAAACAATTGAGCAAAAGTAACCTAGAGCAGTGTTTATCAAAATGTAAGTAATGATTCATTTAGTGGCACAGAAAATCAATTGTGTAATCACAGCAATTTAAAAAATGAAATGGCATAGGATATTCTAGAATGTGCTGCATGATGTAAGGGCATGACTTCTTGTGAAATCTTTCAATTGTGTGTTTACTGGCCTGGGAAGTAAAATATATTTCCCCCTGTGGCATGTAAATCCCACTAGATTGGTCCAAAAAGTTTGAAAGACAATGCCCTATATGACCTAGCAATATTGCTCAAAGAGTGGGATCAATTCCAAATATCCACTTAATAAAATTATTTTAATAACCTGATAACCCTGTAACCCTGTCCCGGTTGGGTCCCCAAACTCCAGTTATATCATCATAACCCCCACACAAAACCTGATTCATTCACTGGAGTTGGCTCCAAATAACATTTAATTACTTCAAAAAAATCGAACCTACTTCCAAAAAATTGAACCTATGTCTAAGAGATGTACATTTACTATTACAGGAACTGTGCAGAAGAATTTGCCAAAAATTCTGAAGTCAATACAACAAACAAACAAGCAGTCTGAAAAAGGTTTTAAGTGAAACAACATCAATAAAGTTAGATTCAGCTCACTATATCCCAGGACTACTCCTGAAGTTCTGTTTTCATACCATTACATTTAATTATAACTATTGCATTTTTTTTCCTGCCACTGAGACTCTACCCTTATCATAGAGGAATCTTATTTTATTATTTCTGTATTCTCAAGTGCCTTTATATATGTATTGTCTAGAACATAACAGACATTTAACAAATGTTTGTCAAGGAGACAGTACTCATTTGGATAAATATATGTCCTGAAACTTAATGAGTGACTGACTCAATGTTGTAGCATATTCTAAGGCTATTCTTGCTTCTTGCTCACTTAAAGAATATACTTTTCTAAGACTCTCAGTTCTATGAAATAGGGCTATATTGGAGTCTGAAATGCACAAATTTTAAACAGTTTTTGATATCAGAATATCATGATTGCAAGCAGAGAAATAAGCACTCTCTTACCATGCTTACAATGGGAAAAAGTGAGTGAGGTAGTTTGGAAATGCACATCCCAAATCTTTCAATATGCAGAATTTATTCTGTGCAAAAGTAAAGGTCTTCAAATATGGACACAAGGATATTAAATTCGATGCTGTTTACAACAGATAAAAATGTCTACCACCTGAAGATTAGTGAGGTATATTATGATAATTCTTACAATTGAATAATGTGCAGCCATGAATAATAATGATGTTTAATTACATTAGCATTGAAACAGGCTCAGAGGATATACTGTAAAAGACAGGAAACAGAGCGATAAACTACAGAATATCATTTAAATTTTTTATAAGGTGAAATTCATATAAGAAAACCAGCCAGTTAAAAAGGAACAATTCAACAGCCGTTTTAAATACATTCACAATATTTGGCAACTGCCACCTCTATTTATTTCCAAAACAGTTTTATTGCTCTGAAAGAAGTCTATATCCATTAAGCAGTTGTTTTCATTACCCCTTCCTTATGGCCCCTGGTAATTCCCAATCTTCATTCTGCTCTATGGATTTGCCTATTTTGGATATTTCATATGAATGGAATTATATATTATGTGGCCTCTATGTTTCTGGCCTCTTTCATTTAGTGTTTTGGAGGTTCATCTTCCTTGTAGCAGTACTTGTTTTCACAGTTGAATAATATTTCATTGTGTGTGTGTTTGTGTACGCACACACATATTTCACAATTTATCTTTTTATCACCTTTGATGAAAAGATGGATATTCATAGCTGTTATGAACATAGGTATACTGCTGAACATCATTTTAATGATACAAGTGTTAGCAGAGAATTAAATTCAAGAATATTAGCAACCATTTTTTGGGGGTGGAGGGATAATAGGTGAATCATTTTATATTATTTAGAACATTGGGCCCTAGAATTAATTGGACCAGGCTTCATTCCCCACCCCCCACCCCCAGCCCCCATTTTGGGGGATTAAACCCAAGGTACTTCATCTATGACATCCTCACAGCCCTTCTTTATTTTTTTGAGACAAGATCTCACTAAATTGCCCATGCTGGGCTGAAATTTGTGATCCTCCTTACTCAGCCTACTGAGTCACTGGGATTACAGGCGTGTGCCACGGTGCCTGCTGACTCCATTTCTTCATGTGTAATACGAAGAAAATAATACCTACTTAATTGGATTATTGTAAAAAGTAAATGGAATATATGTCATTAATTAGAAATATGTGGGGGGCTGGGGATATAGCTCAGTTGGTAGAGTGCCTGTCTCGCAGACACAGGCCCTGGGTTCAATCACCAGCACCACACAAGAAAAAAAAAAAAAGTGGGGCACATGGTAAGTACTGAATTCATAGTATGCTTTAAAAAATTGTATTTTTGTTCATACTTTCTGATTATGTTTATTTAAAACTTTTCCTCCTACTGGATTACAATAGTAATAGTTAAATAGTATTTGTGTGTGTGTTTATGTGACAGAGACAGATAGATTTGAATGCTATACACTTAAGAAGCATGTTCCCCTTGCTGATGGTCATTTGACTACTGAATTGTTCTGGTGACCTCACTTTGATTATAGTCCTATAATGTAACTCTTCCTTCAAATTTCAATTCAAATAATGTTCCAAGTACGTATTTTCCAGTATTCTGCCACAGCGACTCTTCCCTTCTAGGCTCGGTTCAGCATCGCTTTAGATGCAACCACCCAGTTTCTAGTCTCAGCAACTGTGCGACAGGTACTGAGGGACGGTGGAAGGGCACAGGTTTTCTCATACATACACATCTAGAAAAATACATCAGGATCAGGTTTTACCACGTGTATGAAATTTTTCCCCAGGATAGCCCTCCCTTTGCTTCCTAGAAAACCACATTTTATCTCTCATTGTAAATTCAAACTTTGCCAAATATGCACACCTTGAACACTCAGAAGAGTTGCAGTCCGGGGCCCGCCGGGGCTGCGGGGAGGCTCCCTGCTGCCTCCCAGGGTTTCGGAAGTCAGAACTCGCACCTGCAGCCCCCGAGCCGACCTAGCGCGGGAATTTCGAGGGGCGCCGGGGAGGACTGCAGTGTTCGTGGGGAGGCCGCGCGGGGACAGGTGCTGGGGGCTTCGAGTCCCGCGAAGGGGCCGCATCTCCGGAGCCCGACCCCGGGCGTTGGCTAAGGCCTTGCAGAAGAGGAGCCAGCCGCCCGCCCAGGTGTGGGGGAGGCGGCGCCGGGCCTGCCCGCGGACCTGAGAGCCGAGGGCGCGCCGCTCGCGGGGGCTGGGGGCGCGAGGGGAGGTGCCGCGAGGTGGTTCTCGGCTGCTCCTCAGGTTTCCTCTCCCGCCCGTCGGCCGGCTGCTGGCTGCCGCGCCGCCTCCCTCCCTAGCTCCCTCCCCTCCGCAGCTGGGCCCACTCTGCGGCCTCGGCCCGCCTCGCCCCCGCCCCGGCCTCCTCCCGCTTTCTCTCTCCGCTTCCCCTCGAGCTTCCGAGGAGTCCGCAGCCGCGGGGCGCCCGGGAAGATGGCGGCGGCGGCGGCTGGAGACGGCGGCGGCGAGGGGGGCGCGGGCCTGGGCTGCGCGGCGGGGCCGGGGGCAAGCGAGGGCTCCGTGGACCCCGTGCCCGCGGGGCTGCACCCGGAGGAGGTCGCCGCGAGGCTGCAGCGGATGCGGCGGGAGCTGAGCAACCGCAGGAAGATCTTGGTGAAAAACCTGCCCCAGGACAGCAGCTGCCAGGTGTGGGGACGGTGCTGGGGGGGCGACGAGACAGACTCTGGAGAAAAGCTGCCTCCGAGGTGTCGGGGCAGGAGGAGGAGGGGATCGGCGCAGAGTGCCCAGGACGGCCCCTAGCTTTTACAAAGCTCTTGGGGTTTCCAAGCCTGCAGACAGACCGCCAGGGAGGGGAGCAGAGTAGGAAACTGAGGCTCGGAGCGGCGGCGTAGTGGCTCGTCCAAGGTCACCGGGATAGGTGGCGGCTGCCGCCAAGAGTGTTCCGCTCTTTTCTTCTCCTGCAGCCCTTGAGGTAGTTGCAGATGAAGGAGAGTGGAGGTGAGCTATGGAGCTCGCATTTGGGGGCCTGAGTCTTTGGGAACACCTCCAGAGGGGCAGAAGGTCCCGCGTGGGGACCTCAGGACTAGGTGTGCCTTGGGGGTGGGGGGCGGGATCACGGGAGAGCTGGGAGTGAGTTTTGCTGATGCAGAAGCACTTGACCAAGTTTGTATGAAACAACTTTGTCTCCTCAGTTTGCTAAGGCCCCAGAATAGGGAGGTTGTTACTGAGCTTTGAGGAGCCTTGCAGCCGGGTTGTGCCAAACCAAGTAGGGAAAGATTTGTTCCTCAGTGATTTTGAATGAAGCTTTAAAGCTACTCTGTGTCTTTAATCCAGAAACTCTAAACCTATTTCACTTTTTTTTCTTTCCTGATTGTGAAAGTTACAAATTGCTTTAAGAGAGCTGGAAAATCAGAGAAGTATAAGGGGGAAAAAATAGAAATACACCATAGTATCTAAAGATAACCATTTTTAACCTAGAATATCATCCTTTCTTTTCTTATGCATATGTGTACATATGTATTTTGTTTTATCTGAAATTTGAGATAATTTCTTCAATTCTTTGGGGGTTCTTAATTCTCTGATATTCACATATTTCACACACCACATACACAAACACACACACATATAACTTGAATTTATATGGATTGTGATGAGAGGTCCTGACAGTTGCAGATTTGGGGGGGATGGAGGTGGGGTCTCATGTAGTTCTTCCTGTAACCTGATGCATGGGATTGCGAGGATTCCTTTCTCAAAATTGCATGGCAGTTCTTCCATGCCACCCACAGAATAATGAGACTAATGCCCTATTATTGTGTTAGACTTTAGAGAGCCACTCACAATAAATATGAGCCTATAACCTTTATAACTCATATGCATGTGGGGATTTCTGTTTCAAAATGCAAGGTCTGTTGTTAATATTGTCTGTTGATATTGTGTGTCTTGTCCCTCTTTCAACTTTTTTCATTCTACCTTTGTCCACTTCTTGTCTGTCAGATAATGTTTTGCATTACTATGAATAAAGACACCTGCAATGACCTGATTTGGAGAGAGAGGCTTTAGAGAAGCAGATGGCATTTCTAAAAAACAAATTAAAGAAATAACAGCTCTGTGTGTAGATAATCTAGAAGATGGAGAATGTTTTGATTTCCTTTGTAGAATGTCAACTATTTTTGTCACAGCATTTTCTTGCATTAATTCAACATATATTTAAATGCAAAATTCAAGACAGTTCTATTTTTGCTTTGTTGTTGGTATTTTTTCATTCCCTTTTTCAAAAGCAGTGAAAAACATATCCAAGGGTCTTATAAAAGGAATAATTTCAATTAGATCAGGTGTTATGGGTGGAGAGAGACTCTCTGAGAATTACAGTGTAATTTCAATTTTTTCAGATATTCTTTCTGTTATGAATTTTTGTTTACCTTAAATCTTAGGATTTTCTGTGAAGTAGCAAGCATAAATGAGCAAATAAAATGGGGTTGTGGCTCAGTGGTAGAGCACTTACCTAGTATGTGTGAGGCACTGGGTTCAATTCTCAACACCATATATAAATAAATGAATAAAGTAAGGCCCATCAACATCTAAAAAAATTTTTTTAAAAAAAATGGGTTAACAGGGGCTGGGGTTGTGGCTCAGTAGCAGAACACTTACCACGGACATGTGAGGCACTGGGTTCGATCCTCAGCACCACATAAAAAAAATAAACAAAATAAAGATATTTAAAAAAAAAACTCAACATAATTAAAAAAGAGGGTGGGGTGAACATTCTCCTTGTATAGATGAGTCCATTACTGTCAAGTGAAGTATCTTAAAATTTTTATGCAAAGTTAAATTCTTACACCATGGTTTTGGAGTTCCATCTAAAAGAACACACACACACACACACACACACACACACAGCTTGTTTTCAGGCTTGTCCTAGCATTTATATTTTCTCTATAATTTCCATAATGCTTTTAATATTTCTGATGTGGTTTTGAAATATATGAGCAAATCAGTTTTAGGTTATATATAAGGTTTTCTGAGTAGTACTCTTTTTTCCCCCATCACCTTTAGTACTTTACTCCCTTTATTAGTTTTTTGATCACAATTACAACTATTAGTGGTCTGTATTACAAAAATAAGTAAGATAGTGGAGCGCAGTGGTGTATGCTATAATCCTAGTGACTAGGGAGGCTGAGGCAGGAGGATCGCAAATTCAAAGTAGCCTCAGCAACTTAGCAATGCACTTAACAACTCAGTGAGACTCTATCTCTATATAAAATATAAAAAGGGACTGGGGGTATGGCTCAGTGGTTAAGCACCCTTAGATTCAATCCCCTGTACAAAGGAAGGAAGGAAGGGAGGGAGGGAGGAAGGGAGGGAAGGAGGAAGAAAAAGAAAGTCCAAAGTATGGTAATTTCTAAAAGCAATTAAAAGCTGTTCCTATAGGTATTTTTTTTTTTGTTGAGAATTGCTGTTTTTATTGGTCCAGCAAAATTAAAATTTACTTCACTTATTTTTTCCAAGTTGTAATATTTTCATGAATATGTTCAGCATGAATTTTTTTTGAGTTTTGTCATAATTCAGTTTCCCTTGATAGTTTTAATGTCTGTTTAGTTTTATTTTGTTTCTCAGTGGCTATATTTTGCTGTCAACTTACTGATGAAGACTTAACTTTAATTTTGCTTTGTGCCTCTTAACCAGCAAGGCCTACATTAAATTACCTGTGCCATAACCACAAATTTTCCCTGTGAGATGATTAATGTGGCTTTTATTCAATTATTAAATAATCAGATATCTCAAATACTTAAGCTTCTTTTTCAGAAGAGAGTCTGTGCTTAGTCATTCATTTATTTTACAATTTCACATTAAGGATTGAAGGCGTTCTTAACTCTGATTCTCAGGCTGTGTAATTATGTCTTTAGAAAAGCTATTGCCTGGTAGCTGATTAGTAGGAACCCATTGATTTTTTTTTCTTAACATTTTGAAAACATGGGTACTTCTTTTAAAACATAGTTTTCATAAATCAAATTTTGTTTAATTTCTGGTATAACATTTATAGGAGCATGCCACAGTTTCATAGTTTCTGTGATTTAAAGGTACATTGAAAATACTATTTTTAAGTGGAGCTTTTAGAGGTATGTGTATTAAATACCTTAGAAGTTCAACACAAATACCTTTATATTAGTAAGTTCTCAAAAGTTTTTTCATTGAGTAATTACGGTACATTCAATCAGATCCTGACTGGTCTGCCTCCTCAACTTTCCAGAATCTTCCTGGAGTTTTTGTTTCCACAGCCTCAGCTCTGGTTTAGGGCTTTTTATCTCCTGCACAGACTATTTCTACTTTTCAGATTGTCATCTGCTATTCTGGTCCTGTGTGCTTTAGCCTGTCCTTCAAACTTCTTCTCTTGAAACATTCTCCTAAAGTACAAATCTGATCATATCAATATCTCACTTTAAAAATGCAATCCAACAAACAAAAATCCTAGTGCCTTCACATTTCCCGTACTGCTTCTTAAAGTTTTCCTCAGGTTATCTGGCACCCACCTCCACACCTCTCCCCTGCTACCAGGAGCACTTTACCACTGAGCTATATCCCTGGCCCTTTTATTAAACTTTATCTTGAGACAGGTCTTACTAAATTGCCCAGGCTGGCCTTGAACTTGAACTTGTGATTCTCCTTCCTCATCCCCCCTACCCAAGTCACTGGGATTACAGGTGTGCACTCATCTTCAAATTGTTCTTAGAAGTTAAAAAAAAAAAAAAAGTGGCTCTAAGTTAGACTATTAGAAGAGTGAAGTTGCTTTGAGGTTTTATGTTCTGTCTGAAAAATTCACATTCATTTGATGTTGTAATAGCATTGAATTCAACTTAAAACCAGTGATTTGACTTCTAATTTCTTTAAAAAAAAAACTTGATGCTATTAGAAGATATACTGTATTTATATGACTTTACATATTTCTTTGTTAACAGGAGTACTTTGAAAGGTATGACAGGATAGAAATCTAAGATTCTTAGGTTTTATGTGATGGACAAAGTCACATTTGCAGTGTCATTTCTTATTAGTCCTGCACTTGATTCTGCTCCAGCTTTTCAAGCTATATAGTTCACGTACTTCATGCTTCTGTGATTTGAATATTTACAGTAATGTCATTCAGTGTTGTGTTTTGTAATGTAATTATAGTGAAAAATTCATTGTGGTTGATATTTATAATTATAACAATTACTTATAGTGAATAATTTATACTTAATAATAATGTGTGATTACTGGTTCTTATTCAGAATAGCCACTATGTATAGATGGCAATGTGTCCACACTCTTTTTGTGACTAAATTTAGAACTTTGATTAGTTAAGGTAATGTCCTAATATATGTTTGTTGCTGCATTTCTAGAAATTGCCTATATTTTAACTTCTCATTCAAAAGCATTGTTATTGGGGTTTCAAAATGGAAAAAAAGACTGGGGATATATCAAGTGTTAGGCCCTGGGTTCAATCTCTAGCAAAACACACACACACACACACAAATGGAGAAAATGGGCATTTTCTTTCTATTTTGTATTCACTCACTTAGTTTTTCTTATGTCTTGTGACTATACACATGTTTTGTTTTTCATGTGTTATTTTAAAATATGAGTTTCAATTGTGAGTGCTTAGGGCCAAAATCCAGGATTTTGTCTTCTGATTTCTTCTGTTTATACTTATC